TCTACTATTAGATCCAAAATCAATAAAAATCAACCTCATTTAGTATGATTATTATTTTTATTTTTTTTAACATTGATAGGTTGATTTAGTGAAAACCTTGATTTATTTAATATTATTTTATTTAAATATATGTAATTTTTTAGTTAGACCTCAAAAACTAATAAAATATTTAAAATATTATTATAATATTAAAATTATAATATTTTTTTTAAAATAAATAAATACATTTATAAATATGAATTTAAGGAAAAAGTTAAAATTTATTTAAATTTCTAAAAATTCATTTGTAATAAGTAGAAAATTAGATAATATAAATTAAGATGAAAATATTAAGAATATTTTAATAAAATTAAAAAAAATGGAACTTTTTTATAATATAATTATAATTTTTTTATAAACTGAAATAATTCTATGAAAATTATCTAAATTAGAAGACATATTTATAATAAATTTTAAAATTTTAAAACTTTAAAAAGTTTTTATGCCCACATGATGCATTTAGTAAAATTTTAGATTTAATTCATATCTAATAATCTTCTATGATATACTATAGAAAGATAATATCTTTCTAATGTATTTTTACTTATTTATAATTGTTTTAAAGTTAAACATGTTTAAAAAAATATATTTGTTTTATATTTTTTGTAACTTAATAATATAATTAGTTAATAAATATTTTAGTTAAAATTTGGAATTTTATTTTTTAAAATTACTTATTTGTTTATCTTCTTCTTTTCAAATATATCTTTAATTTTTATACTAAATATAATATATAAATAGAATATTATAAATATTTTATAAATAAGAATTTTATTGAATGAATATTTTATAATCTAAAATTATAATTATAATTTATTCTTTATATATTGAATTAAATTTTAATTAATTTTAAAGCATAAAATATATCAGATCTTAATTAATTATATTATAATTAATTATAAATTTTATTTAACTTTAATTATTTTTGATATCATATAATACTTTCTCTTAAGCAATTTTACTTCGAAAAATACTAACCAATCAAACATAGAATGATTTTTTAAATTAATCTTTCAAATATAATAACCTCAAATAATTAATTATAATTTTAGAAACCAACCATAATTTGTAATGCACAACTAATACTATTTTATTTCTAATAATATTTTTTTATTTTATTATTTAACATGGAGAATTAAGAGGGACCATGTAGCTACTAGAGTCACATAGCTATATATGATTGTGCAAGGCAAGGTCATGTGGCTAGGATGATTTTTATCTGTGTGAAGCAAAGTCACATGGCTGACAATAATTGGTTTTAGGAAAGATGATTTCTACCATAATTACATTACATTGATAAATAATATTATAATATAAGATTAGAAATATATTATATTTAATTTTAATTTTATAAAATTTTAATAATATATATATATATATATATATATATATATATATGTATGTGCGTATATTAGAATCTAAAACTATAATCATAAAAAAGAAATATCCAAAAACTAATGTCATACCTTTTATATTTTAGTATTATAATTCATATCAAATTTAGAAATCATCAAGATCATAAAATATTTTAAAATATTTGGAATTATTAAATAAATGATTCAAATATTTAATTTTAAAAAACTATATATATATATATATATATATATAATGATGCTTAGAATATTTCTATGTTATCTTCTTACACTTAAAAACAAATATTCCATGTTCTAAAAACTTAATATTTAATGTTTAGAATATTTCTTATTACACCTCATAGTGCAAAAAGAAATTAATGCTTGTTCTGAGAGATTTTAGATCTAACAATTCTACTTCCATTACAATCTTCTATGAAGTTTAATAAGATTACTTCAATTATTGTCTATTTAAATTAACAAATTGCATTCTATAGTCTTTTGTGTGCAACAATCTAAAATGTTTTGTATTTCTTCATAATTTCTATTGATATCTTGCACGTTTTACTACAATCTTTATAAAATGTCTTTGTTTCTCTTTTATTCTATTTATATAAGTTATATTTCTTTAATATCTTTTTCCATTTGATAGGGTTTGTTTGGTCAATAATTTTTCTTAAAGTCTTTTACTAGATACTTTCTTATACAATATTAACCATTTATTTTTTCATGCAATATCAATTCATGTATAATGTACGTATCAAATCACTTTAAAATATGACAATGGAATTTTTCATTCCAAATTCGTTGAAGAATAAATAATTTTTATTATTTAAATTTACAGATTTAAGAAATACTTGTAACAAAAAAAATCTAATACTAAACAATTCACCAATGACATTGAATTTACTTTTGTTATTATAATGTACTGGAATATGTTAAAAGAAAAAATATTAAATGTCATGTCTTAAAATTAGTTTTAAAATTAGTTTTAATTTATTTATTGGATCAGTTTAATTATTTTAAGTGATATTTTTGAAGGGAATTTTTAAAAAATATATATTCATATCAAAACAACAATCAAATTGAGAGGTCTTCAATGTAAAAAAGATAAAACAATATAAGCTACATAGACTCCATATGCAAAATAATTGAACATTAAATTCAAGTAAAAATTAAAAATTAAAAATAGAAGTAAGTTCAACAACTTCATAGTAAAACTTCCTTATCCAATAACGTTTACCAACAATCATTTGACTACATTCACACAACATGTGACAACAAGTGTTGATAATCTTTGGCATATTTTATAGAAAATTATAGACGAGTTGCACTTTTATTGAAATTCTTCTTAATATTCATTGCTTTAGAACTTGTATGTTAATCACACCAGAAAAATCATACATTGATGTGAATAGGAACTTGTTTGCCTGGTACAAATTAAGATTAGAACTCAAGGTTCGGTCTAATTATAGAATCATAGTCAAAGTAGAGGAAAAGATGCGGACGTAAAGATAAAGAAACGGCAGTGAAAGAGAGGAAGAAAGATGAAAAGGGGAAAAGAAAAAGAAAGGGGGATGCAAAGAATGTGCGAGTACAGTATATTCATTGACACAGAGAGAAAGAGAGAGCTCAAAGCCTGAATGAGAGGAGGAGCGGAGCTCGGGAATCAGATCCCGTTGCCTGTTGTTTCCTCTTGGTGGTAATCCCAACCAGCCATGGCGATGTTGGCGATGGCGATGATGGTGATGGCGATGATGGTGATGGTGATGATACTGTCTCTCTGTGTCCCAGGGTGGCACCTGCAACGAGGGGCGGTTTCGCAATAGAAACCCCGGACCAGAGTTTCCTGACAGTCACCGAATCCTGCTCATGCCATTTATATTGCCTGCCGTGATATGTGCACGCCAACATCTGACACGCGCTTGCTTCATGGCTCTCCCCAAGCTCCCAACAGCATTTAATGGGATCGGGGCTGGCCAGTTGGCCATTCCCTCTGTGCTTTTGTCAGTTTCGTTAGGATGTGTGAGCAAATCCACAGCTGGTCGTCGCTAACCGCGGGCTGAAACCCAATGTGCAAACATCGTGAGGGAAAAAAACGGGACTTCATTTTCGATGAAGCCCTGGATTTACTCGCCCATTTGCAGGTTTTTCTTGTGTTCCGTAGGCTTCTTCCCATGACGTGATGACTTAAAAAGGAACTCTCCACTCTGTTGACTCTGTTGTGTTTACTCTGAGTGTGGTTGGATTGTTGATCACCCAGGTTTTAGTGGCACTTAAAGCAGACCTAAAATTAGGCAGCGCTTTGATCTGAGATTACGAGCTCATACCTCGAGTTTTCACCGAGAGCCTCCCAATAATACAGGGAGTGTACCGAGAATCGGCAAGGATGTTATTTCTCGGCAGCTAAGACATTGCTGGACTTCTCCTGGAAAGGTGCCCAGGTGCCCCACGATCCACTGTTCGATAGGAAAATAAGTTGTGAGCTTCATCAATCCTGTGACGAGAATAGACGCTGCACTGATTGTATGAGAAATCAGAGACCGGCGGTCCGCAGAAGTCAGGTTTTCCCGCAGATCGACGGCGCTTGCGCTACCTGTGCTGATGCACAAAGGGCCAGGTAGATCCACTGGAGGTGCGCTTTCTACCGACCTCGGCGAATGTGATTCCTCCGGCTAAAACCATGTTGCTACCCCCTGATCACCCCCCTCCTATTTCTCACCATCTCCTTTCCTCCTCCTCGCTTCTGTTTGCATTTTCTCTGTTTTTTCGGGAAAGAATAATTTTCATTCTCATTCTTATTTGCAGTAGTAGTTGTAGTAGTAGTTGTTGGTGGCAGTGGTGGTGGTGATGGTGGAGTGTTACTTATCCACCGGAGCCAGGTTAAAATTGCTGGTGGCTTTGCAGGCTCTAGTAGAAGAGAGAGGGGACTGAGGGATGGGCAGGCTGACCTGACCGACTGACTGACCGTCTGACTGCCCGGTCTCCTGGGCCATGTGTGGGTAGCATTATTGGAGGGATGATGATGAGGATGCTCTGGTTTCCTGCCTGCCCACCGTCAGAAAATCCTGCCCCTCCCACATTTACAACCTCTCCCTCTGCCTGCCCGCCCAGCTGCCCGGACTCTTTGCGGACAGGAGGAGGAGAGTGAGAATGGGGGTATGGGATCTTCTACTGAAGCTGGCCACGGGATCGAACTCCCCGTTCATTTGCCCATCTGTGAAGATCCTCGGTGTGAGAAATATCCAAAACCACATGAGGATGGGGATTAAATAAAATAAATTAATAATTGAAAATGCGATAAAAAAGGTCCACTGGTTTTTAAGAAGCAACAGTGATAATTCTTTTCATTCTGTTTCAAAAGTGGTTCTTGAAATATCGAATAACTGAAATGTTGATGTTCTTGTGTATGTGTGACTTGTGAGTGTTGAGAAACAAGCTCACTAAAACAAAAAATATGCGAACTCATCCGAAAGAAAGAAAGAAAGAAAAATCTAAGCTCGACAACCCGAACAAAGCGGAGAGCAGTAAGTGGGATTAGTGAGTTGAATTAGCGGGTGGGGGTTCAGGAGTCACCACGAGGGGGGGGGGGGGGGATTTGGAAGAAGGGGCCGAATTTAATGTGTTTGGTTGGCCCTTTAAGAGCCCTGCACCTGCGCCCTTAAACCCATCTCTAGCTCTTCACCTCCCCTTCCTCATCTCACTCCCTTCACAATTCCGGAGGGGACGTTGTCGAGCTCCAGATCCACTGTCCTCTTGCTCCTCAGGTTAGTGCCCTTGTTCTCCTCTGCTCCACCTTCGCCCCGTCGACATTTCCATCTTCCGCTGAGAACTGTTGAATATTAAAAACCAGGTTTCTTTTATTATCTCCTTTAGCTGTCGCAGTCGCGCTTTTCTGTTGTTTTCGAGACATTATATGTTGAAGGGATCGCTCGACTTAGGATGTTGTCACTCTGCTGTTTAATCCGGTTTCGTTTAGTTCGCGGTCATCGCGTCGATACATTCAATGTGACTTGGTACTGATGACTTCGGCTAGTGCGATCAGTCCTAGTGTGTTGACGTGTTTCTTGGCATGTAAGCTCTCTGGATCTAGTGGGATAGTGGCAGTTTACAGCAAGGAAGGCTTCTTTGAAGTGACTGTGACTTCCCGGAATTTCCTTTCTGTAGGAAATATTCTCTCTCGTCGCAAGGGTTTGTTCGGTTGTAGTTATGGTTAGGTGTGTACATTGTACATTAGGATTTATCAAGGTTTTACGGTGCGGAGACCTTAGAGGATGCTGCATTTTTGTTGTGATTTCTCTATCAAGGCTTTATGTTTTAGCGGTGCATTTGGTCTCATCACGAATATTTACAGTGTATCACTGCGTCAATAAACAATGTAACGTCGTATTTGACGGCATTTCGAGTTGAACTGTTTTCGTCGACTAGAAATATGCGGGACTTCGTGTGATGCTGCGAAGCAGGATAGATCTGCAGTCTCAGCTTTCGACTATCTCTGAATATGGGGTTGCATGGCAATGAGAAGGTGTTAGACATGTTCCCAGATTTAAACGTCTTCCTTAAGCTCGCTGGTTGGTACATTGGCACATGGAAATGGTAGAATTGCATCTTATTCACCTGATGATTAGCGTGTGCGAATATTCATACGATCTCTCAGGCTAACAGAAATTGTTCACTGTCTGCAGACGTTCTTAGTTAAATCATAAACCATGGCTTCCCACGTAGTCGGATACCCCCGGATGGGCCCCAAGAGGGAGCTCAAATTCGCCTTGGAGTCTATGTGGGACGGCAAAACTCAGGCTGCCGATCTAGAGCAGGTTGCGAAGGACCTGCGCGCGTCGATCTGGAAGCAGATGGCTGAGGCTGGAGTGTCAATGATTCCCAGCAACACATTCTCTTACTATGACCAGGTTTTGGACACCACCGCCATGGTTGGCGCTGTGCCTGCTCGCTACGAGTGGACTGGTGGGGAGATTGGCCATGATGTCTACTTCTCGATGGCCCGTGGAAACAAGACGAAGCCCGCCATGGAGATGACCAAGTGGTTCGACACCAACTAGTATGTACAATCTTGATCCATAACGTATTTTCTTGTACAAATGCTAGCGCCTGTGTAGGCTATTTTGAGATTTCATACAGTGGTTGGGGAAGTAGTTCTGACGCTGCCTTTGACATGTTCACAGTCACTACATCGTTCCAGAGTTGAGCAGTGAGACAAAGTTCATGTACTCTTCACGCAAGGCCGTGAGCGAGTACAAGGAAGCCAAGGCCCTTGGAGTCGACACTGTGCCAGTGCTGGTTGGACCAGTGACCTATTTGCTTTTGTCTAAGGGTGACAAGTCTGCACCCAAGGGATTCGACACTCTTTCTCTTCTGGACGCCATCCTCCCTGTTTACAAGTAAGTGTGCTTTGAGAAGTCGACACCTACGTGACATTGCAGAACTTTCGGATACGTGTGGAGCGTTGTTGAGTTTTCATCTGATTGATCCGTTGTTCGTTACAGGGAAGTAATCACGGAACTGAAGGAAGCTGGTGCCTCATGGATTCAGCTGGACGAGCCCAAGCTTGTCATGGACCTAGAAGCTGCTCAGTACGAGGCTTTTAAGAAAGCCTACGCCGTGCTTGGAGAGCTGTCTGGGGTGAAACTGTTGTTGGAGACTTACTTCACAGACTTGCCCGCAGAGGCCTACAAGTAAGAATTAACATTTTTCAGGAATGTACATAGTGACACTTGTAAGAACACCTCATTCAGTGCTTCAGCTGTAGAGATCACTACGGAAATTCATCACAAACCAATATATCAATGTTTGCAGGACCCTGTGCGGCTTGCCTATTTCCGGGTTCGGAGTGGACCTTGTCCGTGGATCGAAGACTTTGAGCATTATCCACGAGCAGGGCCTCCCTGCAGGGAAGACATTGTTCGCTGGTGTCGTAGACGGGCGCAACATCTGGGCCAACGACCTTGCTGCCTCCGTTGCCGTGGTGGAGGAGCTGCAGGCGAAGCTCGGAAAGGAGAATGTCGTCGTGTCGACTTCTTGCTCTCTGCTTCATTCTGCTGTGGACCTTAAGAATGAGACTAAGCTGGACAGCGAATTGAAGTCTTGGATGGCATTCGCAGCCCAGAAGTTGCTCGAGGTCGTTGCTATTGCCAAGGCCGTCTCCGGTGAAAAGGATGAGGAATTCTTCTCTGCTAATGCCGCTGCGCAGGCGTCAAGGAGGAACTCGCCTCGTGTGCACAACAAGGCCGTGAAGGAATTGGTATGTTGTAAATCTCTTTTGGAATTAATTCAAGACATTGTCCCGCTAACCCGTAGTAGGACCGTGGGAAATACGGTTTCCGTAGGGTGCGAATGCGATGCTGTTGGTTTTCTTGTTGTCGTGAAGTAGAGGACTAAATTTTCATACGATTGTGAAAACGCAGGCTGCTTCCTTGGCAGGGTCAGAGCATCGTCGTGCCACACCAGTGTCGAGCCGTTTGGATCAGCAGCAGAAGCATTTGAACTTGCCGATCCTGCCCACAACAACCATCGGATCGTTCCCCCAGACTCCAGAACTCCGCAGAGTCAGGCGCGAGGTGAAGAGCAAGAAGATCTCGGAGGAGGACTACGACAAGGCCATCAAGGCTGAGATTGACAGTGTTGTAAAGCTGCAGGAGGAGCTGGACATCGACGTGCTGGTGCACGGCGAGCCGGAGAGGAATGACATGGTTGAGTACTTCGGCGAGCAGCTGGACGGATTCTGTTTCTCCGCGAACGGGTGGGTTCAGTCGTACGGATCTCGATGCGTGAAGCCCCCGATTATTTTCGGCGATGTGAGCCGCCCCAAGGCTATGACGGTTTACTGGTCTACCTACGCGCAGAGCGTGACCAAGAGACCAATGAAGGGTATGTTGACGGGACCAGTAACTATTCTTAACTGGTCATTCGTGAGGAACGACCAGCCCAGATCCGAGACGTGCTACCAGATCTCACTGGCCATTAAGGATGAAGTGGAGGATTTAGAGAAGGCCAACATCACGGTGATCCAGATCGACGAGGCTGCCCTCCGGGAAGGTCTGCCACTGCGTAAGTCCGAGCACGCAGACTATTTAAGGTGGGCGGTTCACGGTTTCAGAATTACTACATGCGGTGTTAAGGACACCACCCAGATTCACACTCACATGTGTTACTCGAACTTCAACGATATCATTCACAGCATCATCGACATGGACGCGGACGTGATCACGATTGAGAACTCGCGATCAGATGAGAAGTTGTTGAGCGTGTTCCGTGAGGGTGTGCACTACGGAGCAGGAATTGGTCCTGGGGTCTATGACATTCACTCCCCCCGTATCCCACCTACGGAAGAGATGGCTGACCGTGCCCGCAAGGTAATTCGTCCGACTGGTGCTAGACCCCACCTCGACTTCGGGAAGAGGCATCTGGGACTTGTTACAATCTCGTTGGATTATTTATTAGCACTAAATGCCGTTAGCCTACGTGACTTTATTATTGATGACTCTTGGTGAATGCAGATGTTGGCGGTGTTGGAGTCGAAGGTCCTGTGGATCAACCCCGATTGTGGTTTGAAGACAAGGAAGTATGGCGAGGTGGTGCCAGCCTTGACCAACATGGTGAATGCCGCCAAGCAACTGCGTGCTGAGTTGGCCAAGTAGATATTCTGAAAGAGCCATCTTCATACCATAGTCTCTTACAATTTGTCATTTGATAACAAATTTCACACCTTACCACTTCGAGGATTATAGAAGGTGGGGATAACATATATATACGTCCTGATGAGATGGGGTATGTCACCCATCTATTTTGTATTGCTCTGCTGATTCATATCCTGGAACATTGATTAATTTTTGAAATACTTCTTGTCCATGCCTCACTAGGCCAGTTTAGATCTAAGAACAATGAGCAAGCGCAAGCAATTGCTCTCGGAACATTTTTGTTTCAATGGTTAGCATGAGAAACATGCTAACCATGAGGACAGTGCCCGCCTCCTTGATATTTCACCTGAAACTGGAATTCGCCAACACCTGTGATGAACTGACATTTTCTGTCGAACCTTTCGAGTGTCACTGTCGGAGAAAACAAATCCATGGTTCAATGTATGACTAACTGTCGAAAAAAAGATAAAAAACACGTTTATCTGTCACTAATACGTATGTTCGAGGGATTCCAAATAGTCGTAAACCTGAAAATGTGAACGCAGTGCCCAATAAATATTTTCTAACTACTGTTCAGAATCTTAATACGATAGTGAATTTGATGAAATTCTTTTACGTCCTTTCCTGAGCTTCTATACATATTTGCAGCATAGTAAAAGCTGAATTCAATCAAGCTATGCTCATGAACATACGAAAACCAGAATAATTTTTGCAATACAATTGTCCCCAAATAGCATTGTAATCACCTACACCATACGATATGAAATCTTCTTGAGCTCGAGCGAATTAATGAACATTGGTCTTCATCAAGTTGATGAATGATTGAATTAATGCATACAGTAAATGTAAGTTTGTTTCGTGTTAAGGACAGTAGCTATCAGTTGTATCACAGCACACTTTCTCTCTAAACCAAAGCACATGGCAGAATCTGTTTCTGATTCTCGACCATGATGTCCATGATAGGTGATGTGTGGAGCACTGAATGTTTACCCAAAGAATCCTTCGCAAAGGCAAAAAAGAAGTGATCCTCAGAGGCTTCAGCCCCAATACAGATTGTCTGAAGATGGGCCATAGTCAGATTGGTCTTTCCACAAATTCAATGCTTGGCTCACTTCCCAAAGCCCTAAAGCTCTCATCCCTGAATTCTTCCCTGGACAAATCGCTGCCACTAAGGGCACAGAAACCTAAACAAGATACACTCTCCCATGCTCTGCCATCTCCATGTTCCCATAAAAAGCCCTAACTCCTTACAAGCTCAGATTTTCTTCTATTGCAGTGATTTCATGAGAACTTGGCATCCTTGAAAATAAAGTATAAATATAAATAACATAGAAAATGATGTGTAGAAGTTACTCCAGGTAATTACTGCTGACACCTTGCTGTGAGCAAATCTATGTTCCTAAACTACATTTGGTTATTTCAACTTAGCCCAAAAGTATAAAATACAAGCATTTTCTACCTAACAACATTGACATCTAATGTGGCACCAGGTCCAGCGTGGCACACATGCTGATGTGGCATAAAACCTCATGGCAGACCACCTAGCACTTGATGTCTGACCTGGCACATGGTCCAGCATAGCGCATGCTGGCATGACACATAATCCACTTGGAATGTACTAATATTAGATTTACAGACAGGATTTAACTATGATTCAAATTGATTTTTTTAAATTTAAAGTTTAATATTTACTTTTTTTTTATTTGTTATATTTTGATTTTTAATATAAGTTTGAAAGCGTTTTTTAATCAAAATTATTATTATTATTATTATTATTTTAATGATTTCTTTAAATTACATTGGAACAATGACAATGTTTAATTTTCTTGAAACAATTAATAACATTTTTGTTTCACTTGGTGCAACTATTTTTGATGGCTCTTACACTTCGTTATTAGTAATTATTTAGGTGATATTTAAATTACTGATTCAGTTATTATATTTAATATTTTTATGAATAAATATAAGAAAAGCAAACAAACAAGTGGATGTTTGAGATCTTTGTTATGTTGTCAAAGCTAACAATAAATTTCTTTATTAACAGCCAAATATAAAAAATAAGTATTTCATATTTATATTTATTGTAATTATTATATTATTTCTGATTTAGAAAAATTACATAATTTTAATGCTTTTTGAATAACTTCTCTTATTATTTTGTAAGAAATAATTTTTTTTATCCTTATCTTTTTGTACATCATTATTTGCACATATTACAGAAATTCACTAAATATTGATTATTTTTGGCTTTTTGTCATTTTTAGAATTCTATTTAAATTGTACTAAATAAATATGTTGACCTAATAAATAAACTTGTAATAACTTGTCACGAATTTAGAATACTGATTGGAAATCTAAATAAGAAGCTCAAGAAGAATCGGCAAGAACTAGACTAATTAGATGAATAGAAGAACAACACTAGAGAGGTGAGCTAGAGCTCCAAGAGATATATTGTCAAGACTGAGGATCCCCTCAGTCTCGGCTCCTATATATACTGCAAGTTAGGAAGCTTCTTAAGTAGCTTCTACAAAGTAGGAAGCTTCTCAAGCAACTTCCACAAGTTAGGAAGCTTCTCAACCAGCTTCCACGAGCTTTAAAACTTCTCAAGTAGCTTCTACAAACTACAAAGCTTTTGTAGAATATTCTAGAATCTTCTACAACTTCCTAGTGTATGTCCTTGACATTACCTCCCTATTTAGCTTCGAGGTCTCCGAGAAGCACTCCTATTGCAACTCAGTACCAACGTAAAAAGTTGAAAATTTGTCTGCAATATACTCCAATTCTTGTTTTCAAGGCAAATAGTTCACTGGTCCTTGTAACCAACGATAGTATCCTACGCCTTCGATTTTCCACCAAGCATGAACTTTCGTGTCTTCATTGTAAGAATGCCCTACAAACACTCCTTTTAGAAGATCACCATAGGCAGGTTCTACCTCAAATACAATCACTAGTGACCTGTTACTACGTATCCTCCATCATCTTCATGGTACATGCAGTTCTTCATCTCGGAGTTGTCTTTGTAAGATACTCGATTGAGAAGACATGACTGATATGGTATCTATCTCTTAGCTATCCATATTAGACCAAAAAATACAAGCACTAAACATGGAAGAATGGGCTCAGGTTACAGATTTATAGTCTCTAACTATGTCTTTCAAAGGTTCCTTCTCCCCCTTCTTTATAAGGCCGAGGATTAAGATACTTCAAAGAGAAGGAACTTCATTGAAAAACTTTTATCGAAAGGGCTTAGGTTTATGAGGATAGTGACGATGAAAATCCTGTACCTTTTGCGATACATTGATAAGATTTTTTGCTTGTTCCCATGTACGTTCATTGATATCATAGCTGCTCCAATACACTAAGTATTCCAATTTTTCCCACTTATGCTGCAAATCTAGTACCTTTTCTACCTTGTATTCCTTGTGGTTTTCAATTTCAATACTAAGTTGTAGATATTGCACTCTTTTAGGAAAAGATGACTCTCGATAAGGCTCCAACAAAGAAAAATGAAAGACTGGGTGTACCTTCATAGCAGCTAGTAATCCTAGACGGTACGCCATTAGATTGATTTACTTCTGGATGACAAATGGTCCCAATCTCTGGTAGTCCAACTTATCACATAGCCGCTTGGTTTTGATATTCCGTTGAAGTAGCCATACTTTATCTCCAATTTTGAAAGTAAGTGCCTGATTTCGAAATTTGTTTGCGGACACTTTGTGAGCTTCTTAGGCAGTTTGCAATTGAAGCTTCAACGTAGTTTCAAGCTCCGATAGTTGTTTCACAAATCCTTCAACTATCGAGTTGTTATTAGTTGACGGACTCAACAAATCAAGCTTCAGATGATATCCATAGTTAGAAAAGAATGGTGTTTGTTGAATCGACTCATGAAGGGTGTTGTTATATACAAATTCGGCCAACGATAGATATGCAATCCAATCATCTTGCTAATAATTGATGCTGCATCATAAATACTACTCTAAAGTTAGATTCACCTATTCCATTTGGCCGTCAGTTTGATGATGGAAAGCCGAAGAAAGCTTGATATCCACCTTCAATATCTCAAACAAAGATCTCCAAAACTTTGATACAAATTAGATTCCTTGATCCGACATGATATCATCTAGTAAACCATGATATCGATACACACTATCAAGGAAGAGCCTTGATGTATCTTTGCTTGACCATGTTTTCTTGCAAAGGACAAAATGTGCAATTTTTGTAAGCCAATCTACCACAATAAAGATGATGTCAAATGAATTCGATGGTGGCAGGTCCGTAATGAAGTCCATGGAAACTGAAGACCATGGGCGATGTAGAATAGGCAATGGCTGAAGAAGATCATAAAGACAATGCCGAGGATTCTTTGATCTTGAACAAATGTCACAGGAGACGACAAAATCCTTGACATCCTTCCACATTTGGGGCCACCAAAAATCTCAGGAAATAAGTTCTAAGGTCTTATTGAATCCAAAATGTCCAGCCGCTGAAAAGTCGTGTAGAGATTGGAGAACTCGGAGTTGCGCTGGTTCCTTAAGAATATGTAACCGCTCTTCAAAGTATAAAAGATCTCCTTTCACCTTGAACTTGTCATTATTGATACATTGCATGATATCGAGGGCTACAAAATCTCCAATAGTCGTAGTACGTACTTGATTGATGAAGTCAGCATCAATTGATATTATAGCAAAGCAAAGCCTGAATTATTCTAACTTCAACAATGTTGTACACTATTGATCAAACACTGCTTCTCTAATCTTTGGCGCAAGATACGATCTCCTTGATAATGCATCGGATAGTCCTTATTGCTTCCCAAGTCGATAAGCAATAACAAAGTCAAACCTAGAGAGCAACTTATTTCAACGAGCTTGACGATAATTTAGAACTAGAGCCAACATGAAGTATTCTAAATTCTTGTCATCAGTATATAAGGTTATTGCATGCGCAGCTCCTTTGAGAAAGTGATGCCACTCTTGAAAAGAATCCACTATCGCAAGAAGTTCTTTATCATGGATCTCATAGTTGATCTCGGTTGCAAAAAACTTTTGAGAGTAAAATGCAACCGGATGAAGCTTCTTGTCTGTGCCTATCTACGAAAGTATAACTTCTATAGCAAAATTTGAAGCATCGGTCTCCAAATAGAAGGACTTTGCAAAGTTTGGATGTACCAAGGTTGGAGCCATAGTAAATGCCGTCTTAAGATCTTGAAATGTTTTTTCTGCTAGAGGTCCCCATTCAAGCTTA